ACTGGTTCACTAAGTGAAATCCATATGGTGCTTACTCAGTTGTTTGTCCTTGTATAAATATTTCCTATTAGGTAGTTCTCATATTTCAAATATTTAGCATATAAGTGAACTTATTATGTCTACATGAAAAAGGGTGCTTTCTTACTGTAACATTGCACTTCTCTTCCAGAGTTACTTAATATCATTCCATGCAGGTGGTACCACAGGAAGTTCTGCAAGTGGGAAATTCCCTTAGAACTCTGGATTTGACAAATAACAAGATAGGTAATCAGAATTTTTAAGTAGTTATCTCCATTCAGGGTGATAGGCATTAATGCTTGGTATTGTCTCACTTTCTTGTACTTAGTCAGAAAGAAACTGGTTGGAAGTTATATGACATTTATTTTTCACTTCACAATGTGAGAAAGTGCTATATTTCAAGCCAACTTGCTACAATTGGACCCTTTATTTTCTTGCATTTCTTTTTCTACCAGTTTGTGGATACAATTTATCCAAAACCCGTGCTGGGCTGAATTCCCTGTTCTGAATAAGCTGTCTTGCCTGAAACTGCATAAGCTCTTTTCATTGATGTTTGTATAATTGTATTTCTCTTGAGCAATGACAATTCTTTCTTTTCGTTTTGAAGTTGAGGTTCCCCAGGAAGTTGGTACCATTGTGAATATGCAAAGACTGGTAAGCATTCTTAGTAAAAAATGTCTTGGATTTTTTTAGAGATGTGTATTTGCAAGCAACGGTTCTTCCATTTGTTCATTCTCAGTAATGGCGGCTTGATAGTGATGTTTTCTCCTCTTGTTCCTGTAGGTTTTGGCTGGTAATTTGATTGAAAACATTCCAGCTAATATTGGATACCTGCGGAACCTTAAAATCCTCACGCTTGACAGAAATAGGATCACTGTCTTGCCTGAAGAATGTTAGTTCATACATCCTATCTATATTTTTTGTAAGAATGGAAGTGAAACAAGCAAAGTATTACCATAGGTTTATTATTTTATTATTACATAACAAAGGTGGCCTAGGTTCTAATCTAAAACCTTGCCCTAACAAGGAGTTAGTACAGAGTTATGACTTTCATAACATTATTCTACCAACTTTTGTTTCCATTTTCTCACATGATCTTTTTTTCGATTCAGTGGGTTCTCTATCAAATCTTCAGCAGCTTACAGTTTCTCAGAATTCTTTGCTGTGCCTACCTAAAAGTGTTGGAGATTTGTGCAATGTAAGTTTCTTATTTGGTTCAATATGCCAGACTTAGCCTATCTCTGCAAAAGACTTGTTTTCAAGCACAAAAGGAATGTCTAATTTCCGAAAATCATAAAGATGCAGTCAGTATTGAGTTTTGTTTCACAACAGAAGTATTCTTTGTTTTCTGTCTAGTCAAATAAGTTAATTTTATGAAATGATTCAGTCTGCATTTCATCATTTTGTGTCACCATTAAATGTTCAAAAGCGTTTTTTTTTTGTAATGGTCAATGCCCTAGTGTTATCCTTTTTTGGCATTGTGGAGCTATGTGGTGTTGTTGTCAATGGCTTACCATCATTTTGTGTTTGACTGATGCAGATGCTGCTACTCAATGTATCTGATAACAAACTAAATGCCCTTCCCGAATCAATAGGAGGCTGCAAGTCCCTCGAAGAATTGCAGGCTAATGGTAAACCCGCTTGTTTCTGCAATACTACTACTAGTCCTATATAATTTGAGTTTCCTGTTCTCCGCTTTTTGCTTGCACTAGTAATCGTGGCCAGGCAAGGTACGTTCCGACTAATACATAGCACAAGAAACATGGAAATGGTACAGCTTCCATAATTTGTCAATACGTGATATAAGAAACATAAAAATGATACGATTTCGATAATTGTCCATACAAAATGGACAATGTACATCTGTACCTAATAATTTCAACACTTCACAATATATACAAAAAAGAAAAATATAGAACTGGAGAAGGGACAGGCACCAGTCACAGCAAAGAAACCAATACTAAATCAACATTTGGCACAGAGATCATCGACATTACCTTCGACATTTGGCACAGAGATCATCGATATTACCTTCTCAGAGCCTGAAAGTGGTATGGATCAGCTCGACTAGCTGTGCTTTGGATGAATGAAAGAATAATAGATAATAAGATTTCTATATGTTTGCCTCCAGTTAATTAACTTAAGATTTGCTTACTTTCATTATTGTCATGTTAATGGCTGTATGTTTTTTATTATCTTTTCTTTCATGAAATTAAGGACTTGTACCATTTATATAAATGAGATGTCCAGAAATGTAAATGTTGATTTAGTAATGATTACCATGCTGTGAATGTTATCTTGCCTTCTCGTCTACAAATGTTCAGGACTTTAAATGTCGATGTAGTAATGATTACTATGCTATGAATGTTATCTTGTCTTCTTGTCTACAAATATCCAGAAGTTATCGATTTAGTAGTGATTACCATTTGCTAGTCTGCAAATAATTTACGGTTGTAAAATCACTATTTCTTAGGATAATGCTGTTCGGCTTTATGTGTTGAGCAAAGCTACCTCTGGCTAACCTTCATGCTAAATAATATTCAGGAAATACAATCGAAGATGTGCCCTCATCAATTTGCAACCTTGCTTGCCTCAAATCTATATCATTGAATGGAAACAAAATTCGTCAGGTATGTGCCAGTGAATTTATTTGGCAACTTTGACTATCTTGTGCACTTTATGTACATATTTGTCCATGCCATTATGAAACAAGAAGCAATTAAGGAGCCATCCATCCTCAAAACTCTTTTTTTGGCTGCAGCTTCCCCCAAACTTGCTGAAGGATTGCAAGGCTCTTCAGAACTTGTCACTGCACAGCAACCCAATCTCGATGGACCAGTTTCAGCAAGTTAGTGACATGAGGGCACGACAGATTCCTGCAACTGAATCAACACTATTTTAATTTTAATTTTAATTTTAATCCTAATTCCCTTTCTCGTCTGTTGCAGATGGATGGATTCGGGGAATTTGAAGCGCGCAGAAGGAAGAAGTTTGACAAGCAGATTGATTCAAATGTGATGATGGGCTCCACAGCCCTGGACGAAGGCATTGATTTACGCTAGTTTTGCGGCAAAATTCAAGTGAACTTGTTTTTTCTTCATTAGTTGGAAGTAACTGTAAACTTTGTATATATCAGTCTCCCCACAATCTGATTCGGTAAAGAAATCAATAAATACAAAACATACAAAAATGAGTAGACTGTCTCTTTCATGTGAATCTACAGTCGTTGACTATCAGCATATTATGTACTCTCATGTCTAAGCCTACACCATCTTATTATGCTATACTTTCGGTGGCAGCAAAGATTTGTCTGCTTGAAAATGAGCAGAGAGGGCTTTGCAAAGCTCCCCTCTCAAGTCTCAAGTAGCAGTTACAAGTGAGAAGCCAAGAATTAAACTATCGTCCAGCAGTCGTGTTAATTTGGAGCTCACAATACATAGGCAGCCCACCACCGGAGCTCGACACGTAAGGGCAAAAGACTGGTGCCGTCTTTCTACACACGTGAATAAAGCAGGAGGAATCTGTTGTTACATCGTTGCTTTTTCCCTAGCTATATGATCGATTCACATCTGATAAGAGAGGGCAGAGGCAAGGAGGAGGAGGAAGAAGAAGAAGAAGAAGCAGAGGGTTTTGCTACGACTACGATGGAAGAGGAGAAGGCCTTTCCCAGTGACTCGTCAGGTTTCGAGTTCTTCATCATCATGCTCTCAAATTCCTTGAAGAAACTGGTACGTATCTGGGTTCTACACCGTGATCCTTGGTCATTGGTCTCTGGGTTTGGTTTGGTTGGTTGGTTCACCACTTGTTCAATTTCAACCGCTGCTTGACCCACGTCGTCGCAGAGGATGCCAGACAAGTTCGCCAAGGTGCTCGCCGGCCGCGAGCCCCGGGAAGTGAAGCTGCGGGAGGCCGGCAGCGGGCGCCGCAGCCTGTGGGACGTGAAGGTGGTGCTGGACGCCGACGGCCACACATACCTAGGGCGCGGCTGGGAGCGGTTCGCCCGCGCGCACGACCTGCGGCTCGGCTACTTCCTCGTCTTCAGCTACGACGGCGACGCCGTGCTCACCGTGAAGGTGTTCGACGTGAGCATGTGCCGCAGGCACTACAAGCACCACGACGACGCTGATGCCAGTGCGCGCCTCTTCTTGCTTTCTTTCTCTTCGTTTCAGTACGGTGGTTGTAACAGGGATGGTTTTCGCATTTGGCCAGGCAGTGGGAGCAGCAGCGACAGTGGCGGCAGCAGCTCGGCGGAGGTGGAGGTCGACGACGCTCCGACGTCGCAGTTCACGGTCAGGCTGAGCGGCTGCCACTTCCTCGAGAAGCAGCAGCAGTATCTGGTGAGAGCTAGCATCATTCTTATGTGCTAGCAGCAACTAATTTCGGGGTGCGTGGATCATTTGGGTGCAGAACGTGCCGCTGGAGTTCCATGAGGCGCACGGGTACGCGGAGAGGAGCAAGGTGGTGCTGCGGATGAGCGGCAAGTCGTGGGGCGTGACCCTGAAGCACACCAACCGGGCGGGCGGCAAGACCCGGTCGTCCTTCAGGTACGGGTGGCACCAGTTCCTGGTGGACAACCGCCTCACCGTCGGCGACACCTGCTTCTTCCGCGCGCTCCGCGCTGGCGGCGAGGACCACGAGCTCAAGGTGCAGGTCCGCAAGCTGGACGGCACCTTCGTGGAATGATCAGCCGGCCGTGTTGGCGTGCTCATCACCGGCATGCATGGCACAATGATCAGGACAATGGAGTTCTTTTACTTTTTCTAGTAGTTGTTTGAAGCTTTCGGATCGTCTTGGTATGTTCTGAAACCTGGATCAGTGCCTTCTGATGCTAGTAGCAGCAGAGTAACTAGTTAGAGAATAAACCGCCTGACTCTGTGCCTCCTCGATCGTGTGTGCAAAGAGGATGAGATTGTTCGCTTAATTTCTTGTTTGAAATTGTCATCTTTGTGCTACAAGGATAAGATTTTCAGTTTCACGTTTACACATGCATGGCTTGCTTTGCCTACACAACGACTTCATGCTCTAAACTGAGGCCATCTTACTGACGATATGGGTTTACAAGAGATGGAGAAGAATCTGAACTTCGTCGTGCAACGAAGAAAAAGAAGAAGAAGAAACCGGCCTCCTCGCTAGCTCACATCCGCATTCAAATCAGGAATCAGGATCCACTTTCGGTGAAGTGAACTGACGCAAACATGAGATGAGGACGGACGGCGACACGACGGCGCCAGTTTGAGTAAAGAGATATGGCTACGGCCAGCTCCTACCTACCTCTCTCGGTCCCTCACGCTTGATCTGATGCCTCAACCACCGCCCCTCACGGACAGGCCGCTTGTCAAGACCCTGCTTCGTTGAACCTGAAGATATCTGACGAACAAGACACCAAGGCCATAACTGAAGAAATAGAAGAGGAAGATAGCGGTTGGGTGGAAACTCGCCAGATCAACGGTCCACGGCAGTGGCGGATCCCTGTTTACCATCCGGCACACTGTAACAGTTTACTGAAGCCTGTCATTGCGCTTCAGTTAACAGACCGTGCCGTCATTTCTTTCTCTCCGTAGGGACGGGCATCATCTTCTTCACCAAGTATTGTACCTCAACAATCTCTTCCCGCGAGTCCAGTCTAAGGATACGGAGCGGGAGCATAGTAGACGAAGTAGTAGATCACGTCAAGGTACGGAAAATAAATTGACACAGATAGAGAGGAGTCTTCTTTGTGATGAACTCACGTACAATGATTGCTCTTCATCTAAATATATAGGGGTAGGAGGTGAAGGGATGAGTACTCACTTAACATCAGGTGTGGAGCACTAGAGGGGCTAGGAGATGCGTCACGACTTGGCCTCCAGTCACACCCACACATGGCTCCGGTTTCCCAACACTTCTTGAGTACTTAGCCGTATATCCATGCCTCAAAACTAAAAAAAAATGATGAACACACACAACAATGCCTGCTAATTCTGACTGCCCAATAATGATGCACGCGTCACTCGTCCCCGGAAAAAGAGATGGACGGGTCAGGATTATGTATTGACATGAGCATTCTTTACTGGAGCAATGATGAACGCGTTATTCATGCTGTCTTATGACTTCCCTATCTCAAATCATTTCTGTAGATCATAATCACACTCTTTGTCCAGCATCACTTAGGTCTCCAACCTAACACTGTAGACATCTAGCCTTGCGGGTTGCTTGGCCAGAAAATATACCACCATCACGCGTGAGACCTATTATTTGTTCCCTTCCATTTTGCTGAAAACATCATCAAAACTATCCAAAGTACAATCTAAACAATCCACCAAACTGCACGAGTGATAATTTAACCGACAACGATTGGCTTGAGAAAGAGCCCGGTGATGAGGCTCTTGAGGTCACCACCAAATGTGTAGCCATCCCTACCACCGAGGTATATGACTTCTAGCATCTTTGTCAAGTTTACCACAAGTTGTGCCGCTGGCAATAGTGCTGGTTCTATCTCCATACAAGCCTGGTTCATCATCCTCCACGTGTCCTCAGCCAACGCTGAGATCACTGCCACAGCCTCCTCCCCCGCAACGAGGTGCTCCTTCATGTAGCACTCCACGGAGCTGGCCACATCCTTGTTGTTGGTCTTCCCCATCTTGTAAGAAGGGATGTCATTGAGAAAGCGAGCGATCTGCCCGCTTGCGCGGACAATGTTAGGGACATTGACTGCCCAGTCGAACGCCTTCTTGGTTGCTGTGTTGCCCACACCCATGAGCATCACTATGGCCAGTGTGGGGAATCCCAACGACATGTGTGACACCTCTAGGTGCTCCTTGAAGCTGGGGGCATACTTTTCGTTGGACCATTTGGCCTCATGGAGGTAATATTCAGACAATGACTTGATCTGCACCCACAGTAACATATGTCAGATATGACGTGGACTTTTACTGAAATATGATGTCACGAGTATATCTTGAAAAATGAAGCTATTGAACTTGATATATTGGATTGGATGCTTTTGATAAGTTTTTACCGCTTCCTCGGCGTAAGATAGACGGTACTTCTCGTGTGGTCCCAAAGTGTCCTCAAACTCTTTGATGTTATCCAGCAATTTGATGTAAAACGTATGCAGATATTCAGGTAGAATAGATGCCGCACTTCGATCCCATCTACAGTATATCAGGATTTAGGAATCTAAGACAGCGATAAAAGCCAAGATATCAATCACTGCCATTTGATAGTTTGAAGAGACTGATTTAAATTTACTTTCACCAGGTTAAGCTTTAGTTCAGTGACATAGTAATAATTGCCCTATATATGTGCACACTAATATTTTGCAAACCTTTGTATAGCTTCATTGAGTTTACAACATTCCTCCAGGGTCACGTGGACATCGTAGGTGTCATCCATCAGGGATAGCAGACCAAACGTCTTGACAAACATCAGTCGTGTGCGAGAGCTCTCCTCCTCATGGAACACACTGCAGGCCCAGAAATAGTTCTCCACTAGACGATCCGGAGCATAGCTTAGCTTTACATGGTCGTAAAGATCTCTCCACCACCTATAGATTGGACGCATTTTAACCCAAAAAATCATATAATATGTTGGTGCATACTAGTAGAAGTTAGCAGGATATACTGCAACAGTCGGTTTCATGATGTTCCTGGATCGCTGAAGGGAAAGAGGATGCATGCATGGGTAGTCCTGGGTCATGGATGAGATGATGCTATCAACAATAATTATTCAAATGGGGTCACAAATTTGGCTCATTAATGTTAGAGTTGTGTCGAATATTGTGTACAAGGTAGGTTACAGTTGGACTCTGAGTTGTATTGTGTTTAGATAGGATATGAAGTCGTGTCCTAGTAGGACACTTGTATCCTAGGCCTCTAATATATAGCGGGGGTAGACACACGATGTAACCTATGCTAACATAATAGCACGGGCACGCGGGGGAGCCGGCGGCGTGTGCCGGCGCCCGGGCGGCCGGGGTGCGGTGTTGTGACGGTGTCACGGGGAGGAGCGCCCGTAGTCAGGCCCCGGGATGTAGCCATGATGATGAACCTCGTTAACAAATTTCGGTGTCGTGCTCGTGTGATTGCTTGGTCCTCGGTAGATCAACGAAGCGCCTTGGATTTATTCTAACAAGTGGTATCAGAGCAAGGTTTGAGATCGATGCGACTCATGTTGATCTAGAGGAAGTATCAAGTTTGAGATGCAGCTGGCTGCGGTGGTCGGTGTGGTTCTCGATGAGATTGGATCAGCGGAAGGTTACGCGCGTTGCGGCAGTAGAGACGTGTGGCGATCGGATTGATCGGGCGAGCGTACAGGAGCACGTGCATGAAGGGACGGTGCGCCGCACGGGCAGGCAAGCTGCAGGTCGGTTGATTCCATCGATGGGAGCTGCGGAAGCCCCGTGTGTGGGCAGCTGCCCCAGGTGCGCACGGCTGCAGGCGGGCGAACCGAAGCCAACGCGGCTTGTGGGCATGGGCCTAGGACGTGCCAAGCTGGCCCTGGTGGTTAGTTGTGTGCGTGCTTGATGGGCTAGGCCCTTGTGTAGTGCTGATATGATGTGCAACACAGGAGAGGTGAGATTTGTTTTGGACAAAAAGAGGACCGAGTCCTCGTGTGACAGGATCAAATCAAATTGGTGAAGAAAATTACGTGGTAATACACCAGGAGAGCATGGGCACGGGCAAAGCAATAGCTAGCATCAGGGATTGAGCTAAGGATATTTTTCACACGGTCAGCTATACAAAGAACCATGGCACCAATGGGTACCTGGTTTGAGGTGAAGAAGTTCAACGGGACAGGAAACCTTGGGTTATGGCAGACAAGGATGAAAAATTTGTTGGTGCAATAGGGATGCTTGAAGGCGTTGCAGGAAGTCAGGTCAGCTGAGAAGGAATAATCACGCGATGGATGGAAATTCTTGGAAGACGATTTGGGAGCCTCGAGCGTGTCATGCAGTCGAACAAGTTCGGCTGGGTCGGACTGGACAGTCTGATGGATCGACGCAAGTCGGTTGGTACAAAAAACGGTGGTGAGAGCGGCGACGACGACATAGAAGCGTGATGCCGATGGTGACCGACTTCTGGGCGTGGAAACACGCGGCACAGGCCCGAGGCTTGTGTGGCTTCGACAAGACTATGGCGCAGGATCGATTCAAGACGGTGCACATGAGAGCTTGAAGTCGACGGGGCGCGGGGTGGACTGATCATCTACCATGGAGTCATGTTGAAGGTGGAGCTGGATTGAGGGGCTGCGATGTAATGATCCAGGGAATCAAAGCCTATTCAACAAGGGGGAAAGCGAGTGGCACGCAGTTCGGACTGGAGCCCAGTGGTCTGATGGAAGTGTGAAACTCGTCATCGGTCGGTGATGATCGATGGTACTCTGCAGTGGAGGTTGAGTGGTGTGGGTTCGCGGCCCTTGAGACTCGACCAGGACAGCGGAGGCTCGACGCGGTAATAGCGGCGAGGCGTGCGGTATGCACGGGGCATGGAGACGGGCCAGGGCTCTGGTGGTCATACATGTGGTGAGACAACTGCGAATTTGACTCGGGATGACTACAAGCAACGGTGAAATTCCTTCATGTTTCAAACAGGCGGTCAAGAAAGGAGCGGTGATGTTGAGTTCAGGTAACTCTTATGTGTGGCACCCAATATATGAGTTGTTCACTTTCACGCAGGTCAGTGATCAGTGTGTGATGGCGTTAGACTGATGCTCTGGAAGTTGGGAGCACAAACTAGAGTAATAAGGAACTTAATTTTGCTCGAGTGTTGACTGTGGTCAAGAAAAGGAGGGACTACAAGTTGCGGGTGGAGTCATATGGAGTCTTTGGAGTAGCAGCGGTACTCATGGGATAAGCTTAAATCCAATGTACATGGAAGTTTGACGCATTGACGAATTCAAGGTGATGAAGAATATTCGCCAAGGTGGAGTTTGTTAGAGTTGTGTCGAATATTGTGTACAAGGTAGGTTACATTTGAACTCTGAGTTGTATTGTGTTTAGATAGGATATGGAGTCGTGTCCTAGTAGGACACTTGTATCCTAGGCCTCTCATATATAGCGGGGGTAGACACACGATGTAGCCTATGCCAACATAATAGCACGGGAACGCGGGGGAGCCGGCGGCGTGTGCCGGCGCCCGGGCGGCCGGGGTGCGATATTGTGACGGTGTCACGGGGAGGAGCGCCCGTAGTCAGGCCCCGGGAATGTAGCCATGATGGTGAACCTCGTTAACAAATTTCGGTGTCGTGCTCGTGTGATTGCTTGGTCCTCGGTAAATCAACGGAGCGCCTCGAATTTATTCTAACAATTAACTAAATCAGTGCTGAACTCGTCGTTTTTGCTTTTCAAACTATGTTTAAATTTTTACATTTGAACTTCTATAACATGGTACATGTATGTTATGTTTACGTACTAAATTATTTTCACGCATTTTCGAAAAGTTGTTGAGTGTTTGTTCGATCGCTGGCGCACTGGTTTCACCACAAGGGCGGTGCACCGGCCGGATATGTCACTCTTTTGGAGCCACTAGGTGTGGTCTTTTTCATGTTTTTTCGTACTCCTTTTACCTCCTCTCTTCATATGAGAGGGAGGGACCATGTTAAAATTGCTTAGGAATTAAAGATAGTATCTTCCTCATCTAAGTGGATTGAAGTTTTCATATGTATATGTTGCTCTAGAAAGGCGCAACTTTGATTTAAGTTGCACTTTTTTCTGAAATCAAATTATTTGGTATAAGAAAATCTCAAGCAGGCTTCCCTCGCCAAAAAAAAAAACTCAAACAGACTTCCGCGCAAAAAAAAAACTCAACCAGACTTACAGTTAGCAAAACCATTAAGGATGAGAAAAACTACAAGGAAGAAATGGGAAAAAATGTCAACTTACAAAGATAGAGCCTTGAGCTCCTTGAGGTGAAGGGACCTGACCAGCTCGAAATCAAGCTTGGAGAGCTCCAA